TCCATCCATCCATCCATCCATCCATCCATCCATCCATCCATCCATCCATCCATCCATCTTCAGAGTCCTCACTCCTGCTAAGGGAATGCTGAGGCATTCCCAGAACAGCCAGGAGATGTAATCTTTTCAGCAAATCCTTAGTCTACCCGGAGGACTCCCCCTGAGGGACTTTTCCATAACACGTCCCTATGGAACAAAAGCACACAGGAATGTGCGTGTGCTCAAGATCACTTGAAGGTCCAGAGGAAGCTGGACTCCTTAATGTTAAAATGAATAGACATGAGGAGTGACTCAAGGCTTTTGCACCAGCATGTTCCTTTATTATTCCAAAACTCCATATAAAAAATGAAACCCCCCCCCCAAAAAAACCCCCAACTAAAACCAAGTTAGAATTTTATATTAAAAACTTCCCAAGCTTATAGCCGTGCAGTTTATATGTACAAACACACACACATACTAGAGGTTTCACAATACTTAAATGTCATACTACTTTAGATATTGAAACCCGGGAAAGAATTTGATACCAGATAACATTTTCGATGCTATAGGGATAAAAAAAAAAGACAAATAGTTAAATGCCATAATGTTCTCTTATAAACAAGAGAAACTGGACTTTTGTAATGATAACACCATGCTTTCTCAACGGAATTGCAGATGCTAGTTAGAAAAGTGTGCAAATTAATGCAAAAATTGGTAAACCAAATTTGACACAATAGAGAATGTGCCTTCAATTGCTTTACACCATTGCATCAGACACTTTGCATTACAATTGGATGCCATGGAGCAGTCTATACACTTCTTAAACAAATCTGGGTAGCCCCATGCTCGCCTTGGCACAGTCAGTGTGGCCTACCTCTTCATGGTTAAGTTGCTTTCATCCCACAATGTAATATGTCTCCACTTGGTTAGAGTACTAATGATTGTTGATAGTGGAATATTTAGAAGCAAAGAAGCATCTCATAACCGTATTTGCTGAGCTAGTGTAACAAGCGGGAATTCACTGAGCTGCTGAGAGTAACCCATTCTTTGCAAAAAGGTTTACAGAACCAGTGTGCCTAGGTGCTTGATTTATACAACTATAGCCATAAAAGTGTTTGGGAACCCAGCTTTCAATGATTTGGATGGGTGAGTGAATATTCTGGCAACATACAACATATACAAAGATCATAAATGACCAAATACTGCTTTTGCTTTTGGTGCTGTGCCACAGATGAATGTCACCGGCACCAGAAATACACAATTCATAATTCAGTCATTTCAGCACACCGTTATTGTCTCTAAGCATTCCTTGTAAAGCCACAGCTGCCCCTGGACTACAGTGCAGGTGTGAGTCATCATGGGGATTACAGTCATATGGAGAGACAAATAACTTGAAATGCTGAGACAGAAGAAGTGAAGAGTAAGACTGACAGTTAAAGATAATGAATTGAGGAGTGATCTGAGGGGATGACACAAGAGAGGACATGCTTCTTTTAGTATAGATCTAAACCAGCTGGGTTTAGAGAATGTTTGCATTAGTGTGGGGGATTTAACCAAAAATGTTGATGTGCTAGAAGCAGTCAAGACTGAAAATGTCATGATGCTGCTCAAATGAAGTGCTATGATCCACGAATGAGATGAAAGGGGTGAAGGGTTGGGAATGGGTAAAGATAGAAGGGTGTACAAAATTAGAGTGAGCTGGCCAACGAGGCATACAGGCAGACAGCAAAGGATGGTAAAGATGGCGGTGAGAGATTATGGGAAACATGTTAAAGAAGAAAAGATCGCAGGAAGAGAAAGTTTTCTGAAACCAAAGGGGTGTTAAAAACAAGACACTGCAGATGGGGCAGCTTTGAGCAGAGAGAGATAAACACAGGGAGCTGGATGTTGTTCTTGGCCTTGGCAAATAAATCGGAAAGTGCTGACATATGCACACCTAGTCAAATTAAAGAGAGGATGAAACAATTTAAATTGAAAGACTGCTGTAAAGGGTGGGGGCAAGCTTTAAAAAAGGGTTAAGGGAGGAGAGTAAATGGGGATTCAAACACATAAAATATACCTTTGCTCTGGTGGGCCACTGCTGCATATATCCATGTGCATGTGTATATTTTTATGGGGAGGAAACTTCTTTCAAGACTGCAGTATTCCTTACAAGCACGCACACTCAGAGCCTTCCTCAGTCTTTCTCTCGAAGCTACCCCTTGATCTAAAAATAGCCGCTCCTCTCTCCTACAAGAGGCAGCAACCATTCTGAACCAATCAACACGGTCTGTCAAAGGCATCGGTATCCACCACCCCTTTGCGTGTGTGTTTGTGCATGTTGCTGTTCGCCCACACATGTGCAACAAGAGGGAACTCCTAACTGAAGGTAATAAAACTGCCCTCCCCTGCTGCAAAGCAATCCCTTCTAGAAAACAATAGCTGGGAAATAAAACAGAAATTGAGAGAAGGAAAAGAGCAAACCAAAAAAGAAGGGAAAATAAGAGAGAGTGGAGTAGAGAAACAGGAAGATTTGGCTGCAGTGGAAACAGGCTTCAAAGGAATATTAATGTGATCCTGTGCAAGAGCTGAAGACAGAGGAAGAGACGAAGGTGGGAGAAATGGAGGAAGGAAAACCAGAGGAAAAGAATTTATGATGCTGCACCCTCCCACATTGCTCTCTCTGGCTTTGCACCTTTCTACAGGTGAACCTGCAGTTTATATAGATGTCCATTGCATCCTCTTGAAAACGGCATAACCTTGATTCATTTCAATAAAACTTAATCTCACTCAGATCTGCTTCTAAACGTAAAATCTTGACAAAAATACAACATATCCTCAGTCAATTCAGGGTTATTTTTGTGTGAATAATGAGGTCTTTACCAAACCCCATTAAATTCTCTACTGGGATTATTCAAAAACAACATTTTGAAAGATGTATCTGCAGCTGCCTTAAGATTAAACCCCATCATTGAAGTCCGATTAGTATTTGGCTTTAACTAGGCTAGGGGTGAGCGGTCCTGGTCCTTCTGACCTAATGTTCAGCCTGTTTAAGGTAGTCTCCTACCTCAACAAACCTGACTCACATAGAAGGGAGATTTACAGGACTCTGTAATTCTCAATGGCTGCAGAGGAGAAAATGTAATTTTCCCAGAAATGTAAGTGCTGCTCCCTTTGCCTTCCACCTGCCTATCTCCAGAAGTCAAGCTGAGAGGTAACTGGAGACACTGAATTGCAACAAGGCTCCAGGTCCAGTTAGTGTCAGCCCATAGGCGCAGAATGTAGAAGCTCTTTGGGATTCTACAGCACCTCTTCAACTGCCTGACCCAGAAGACTGTACCAGGAATGTGGAAGACCTCCTGCCTTGTACCGGTGCCAAAGAAATCTGAGCCAAAAGTCTTCAATGACTATAGACCTCTTGCACTGACATCCCACATTGTGGAGGTTCTTGAGGGGGTCATCTTGGTCCACCTGAGCAAGCAAACAAGCAGCTATCAGGACTCCCTACAGTTTCCTTATAGCTGTAAAGTTGGAGTTAAAGATGCCATTAAACACTTGCTTCAACAAACTGAATGTAATTTAGAAAAGACAGACATAATGGTGACAATCATGCTCTTTTATTTCTCCAGCGCATGTAACATGACTATTTACTTTGTCAGAAACTCCAAAAGACTAAGGTGGAGGCATCAACAATTGCCTGTTGAACCTTCAATATGTGAGACCAAAAGTTCAACTCTCTTACCAGGTAGTCAGCATCTCAGGAGCACTGCAGGGAACAGTACTCTCACCATTCCCTTTTAATTTGTACACCTCTAACTCTCAGTAAAAGACAGACTCCTGTCACCTACAAAAATACTCGGATGACTTAACAATAATTTTTTGTATCATGGATGAGCAAGAAACTGAGTACAGGGAGTTGGTGAACTGGTTTATTGCATG